TGGGAGAGGGGAGCTTGGACACTGACACGGGGATGGGTGATGCCTCTGTGTGACTGGGGTGCCCTCATAGCTGAGGATCACCAGTGGTCCCTTCCTGCTGCTGCACCTGCCTGGTCCAGACCAGAGGGCTGAGGGGTGCCGGAGCCGAGACGCCTCGAGGCTTTCTCCAAACCCGTTTCCAGATGAGGAGAAGCACCCCTGCTGAATGGAGGTCTCAGTTTGCAGCCCTCATCTCCTCACTCCCACCTCCCATCCCTCGCCCCCCCGCCAAAGCCAGAGCTGAGGGCAGGAAGGCACCAACGGCTGCGGATCCTGTTACCTGCGGCCAACAAAACCTACCTGTCCCCTCCCTGCCACCCCCCCTGCCCCCTCTCCGGGGGGACAGAGCAGAAGGACACCCTGACCCTCCCCGAGCACTGCGGGGTCGTTGCCTGCCATGATCGAGTGACCAGATGGACGCTGGGCTCACACCGCGGCCTCCTCTGTGGGTCCCTTGTCCCTCCCTGAGCCGGCAGAGCTTTGACGCTCTGTCCCCCCGGGGCAGCCTTTGTCAGGGCACTGCAGAAGGGCCCCTGTGTCCCTCTGATCCCTGCCGGCCCCACAGCAGCGCGTCCCCGGCCGGAGCATAAAGCTGGCTTTCAGGGACCCGGCATTGGGAAACTCCCGGGGAAGAAGCAAGGGAGCTTCTTGTTAAATGGAGACACAAAGCCACCTTGTTAAGGGGTTTACAAAGGCAACCATCTCCCCCTTGCCTGGGAAGCTCAGGGCCGGCGACTCCCAACCTCACCGATAGGATGGCTTTCCCTTGGAGAGACAGGAACATTTAACAGCTGTGCTGAGCTGCAGCCCTGGGACCTGTATGTGGAGCCCTCTGTGCCCCCATGAACCACTCGAAGCCACATCTGCAAAGGAAAATGGGAACCAGACACTCATCCTGGGGAATCCTGTGGTTTTCCCGAGAGTGCGCCATTGCCACCAGTGTCCCTGCTGAGGGGACGTCATCCAGAGCCAGGGAACGCCATCTGCACAAAGTGATGCGATGATGGGTAGCATGAGAAGGTTTTCTGTCCCTCCTTTGGGAGAGATGTTCCAGGGTCCCCTCTTACACACCCACAGATGGGAGATGGAGCCCCAGGAAGGGATGTGATAGGGGCACAGTCCCACAAGGCACAGCCACACACGACCTCCCTGCTTCCCTCCTGCAAAACATCATGTTCTTTCCTTGCATGGACCTAGTGATGCATTTCTTTGCCCAACAAAATAAAGTTTAAGCAAAAAAAAAAAATCAGCAGCCCCATAACTGCTGTATCTCTCCAGGAATTTTCTCTTAAAATCCATCTATCCTCACAGGCTTTTGCAGGAAAAATCCCTGCCCCAACAAGGTTAGCACAACCTTTGGCATGACTTTTGTGGAATCTGATGGTCACTCAAGCCTCTGATGGGCCCTTGTGCTTTCCATTTTACAGCCTACATCTGGGGGCTCCACACACCATGGCCATGTCTGAGCTGCCCACACCTGTGCATTGTTCTGAGCTCTTCTTGGTAATTCATGCTAAAATCCACATGCATATTAAACCTTACACCTGGTAATTACCTCTGCCTCTAGAGAAACAGGAAAATGGATTATGCCACCAGGATGCAGCAGGATGTGGTAGCCAGAGATGGCTGGTCAGCTTGGAAAAACAGGACCCCCTGGGCCCAGAGCCCATCTGGGTGTGACACACAGTGGGAAGGGGAAGGGGAGACCTGGCTCTGCAGCAATCCTGAGGGATGTGCAAAACAGGACAAGTTCCAGGTGGGGAGTCTCACCAAGCAGCAAGTGAGATGCCAAAGAAGCTTCCACCCTTGCTTTTCCCTGTCTCTCTCCCACGCATGCAGGTGGCACTTTGGGGGTTCACATCTCTCCTGGCATCATCCCCACATCCTTCTCTTCTCCCTGTGGAAATGTCACTCTGGAGAACACACCACTTTCTCTTCTTTGACCCTGGCAATGTGAGCTGCTGTGGCTGCCTGTGCTGTGTGGTGACACCGGGGGTGCCAATTCTTCACTGGGAAGCCCCAGACACAGTGCCCCATGGAGCCAGGCTGGAGGCAGCATTCCCTCCCCAGGACAGCAGTAAATTGGAGTGCTACAGCTTTAAAGAAGCATGTGTGCTCCTTGGCAGGGCTGGTGGCAGCGGGGAGAGCCAGAGGACACCTGCAGAGATCCTGTACAGCTGGGGAAGATTAGCCTTTTCCACTAGACAAGACCCATTACCATGTTCCAATATACCATCACTTCCGCTAGGAGAGCCTGCAGATGAGATATCGATTGCAGTGACCCCGGACAAGCCCTTCACCGGAGCCTGGGAGGGTGGCAGAGCAGCCCCACGGCAGAACCTGTGGTGTAAAGAGGGGGTGCAGTTCCCCAAAGGCATCCCTAGGGACCCCAGGGTGGCGAGGGGCTGCCTCAGAGCTGCAGCAATGGGTGATGCTGTGGAGGGAAGCACAAAAGAGCTTCAAAGCCCAGCAGTGACCCAGGTCCCTTCCCAGGGTCCCTGTGGGCTCTTTCCAGTGCAGCTCTGCCCTGGGAATGGGTGGAGACATTGACAGGTGGTGCTTCTGCCTCAGGAAGAGGCATCACCAGAGCTCTGGATGTCCCAGCATCACTTCAGACTCGTTCAGGAATTGGTTTTTTGGAGGGACTACATTTATAGCTGTTTATTTTCCTCACAGCCAGGTGGGTGTTGCAGAAACAAGCTTATCACCTTGAAAGGCCAAAATATTCCCCCCAAAACATCTCTGCTGGGGAGTTCCAGGTGGTTCAGGAGGTGCTCACAGAATGCTCCTCACCCACTGCTTTTCCCTCCTGGTAGCCCCAGTCCTTGAAATACCTCCCTGAGATACAACAGGGTGGAAGGACACTGGGAAACTGAGAAACCACCAAATCTTGGGAACTGGAAGGGCTGATGGCAATTAAGGTAGCAAAGTAATTAAACGTGGTGTCTGTTTCGCAGCATCCTATCACCACAGCCCCAACAGGAAGTGCAGGCACTTTGGTGGGTTTCTTCTATCCTTTGAACCCGTGATTTCTGAGATTTTTTTTTCCCTTCTCCAAGACTTACGCTGGGTTTGACTTGGCTTTTTGAACACTCCAAGCTCTGCCTTAGCAGCACAATCTGCTTGCAGCCCAGTTGGAAGCAGCAGCTGGGAGCTGACACACGATGCTCCTCCAAAGGCTGATGTGTCATGCTCATCACTGCCTCTTGAGAGCATCCCTGTGCTTCCCAAGGAGCTGGAACTGCCATGGTGGAGCATCCTCCACCCTGAGCCAAAAACCTCACTGGACACTCCAGAGTGTGCAGAGAGACAGGGCAGACATGACCCCCCTCAGATCTGGGCTCTAAAGGGCTGTGGTGTGAGTGCTGGAGGATATTCCAGGACTGGGAGTTAAATGGCTTTTTGCAGGTGATGATTTAAGCACCCAGCTGGCCCAATGAGCCCTCACAGAGCTTTTCCAGCATTTCTCAAGCTTTGGGGCACAAGAAGCTTCTGCTGAGACACTTTGTTTTGTTGTTGTTTTATTGGGGTTTTCCTCCCCAAATAAAAGACATCATCAGCTTCTCATTGCATCAAGTTGTTTCAAACTCCAGTTTTCCAATGGAGAGCTCTACCATAGTCAAGGATGGGCATGGGAGGGAACTCTCACAGCTTCCAGGGCTACTCATTGTCTCATGGGCCAGCACAGCATCCATCTTTGGCATGTGGAAGGGAAGCAGCTCTGTTCCCATCATTTTCTGAATGATTCCCCAGGAGAAGGCTCCTGATGAGGTTCCAAACCCTTCTCCCCACCTGAGGATGGGCTGCTGTGGGATGAAGACAGCTGGCTCAACACTAGGTACCAGGGCGGCTGATCAGCACAACCTACTGACCACCAGCCCCACTGTGGGCTCATGCAATCCCCTATGTGCAGCTGCACTTGCAGCTGAAAGCAGTGGGATTAAGAGAATGAGGTGACCCTGCAGAGCATTCCTGCCTCCCCATAGCCCACTGGCTCCACCAGCCCAGAAAACTATTTCTCTCACCTCTCCTGACAGCCCTCTGCTGCTTTCTCCTCCCAAGATGGTCGCTGCCAGTAATAGCAGGGAAATTCACATCCAAGCTGGGAAAATAACATGTTATTTTCCCAGCTGTGATGTCAGAGCTTGTCACACTAGCTGGCTCGGCAGCAGTGTGAGCAGGGCACGCCTGGACGTCCCCAAATGGCCACTTGGCCTGACTAAAATGTGCCCCGTTTTGATGGCAGCTCTGCTTTTGCTCCCCAAACACGTTGGGAAGTGGCACATTCCTGCTGCTGGGATGGGGCTCCCCAGCTCCCTGCAGTGGAAGGAAGAGGTGTGGTTGGTGCACTCCAGCTCCAGGGAGCATCTCTGCTCCTGTCCTGGGGACACCCAATGTGGGGACATCCCAAACCGTGTCCTTTCCCAGTCTCAGCAGTGCTGAACACCAGCACATCCTGAGCGTTTGCACGGTTAGGAAACCCAGTCCTTTCCTTTTCTCTTTCCTTCCCCTCTGCTCCCACAGCTCCAGGATTCTCTTGCTGAGCCATCCCTGCCTCCCAGCCAGGTGTGCAGCCTGAGCATCAGGAACAGGGACCTGCACCCCTTCAGGCACGCTGGGAGCGAGCACTCCTTTCCTCCTCGCCTCCTGCAACACTATCAGAGGATTATCCCCTGCATTTGTGTCCTTCCCAAGTCACCAAAACGCAGCAGAAAGGATCAGGCCCAGTGGACCCTCAACCACCCAGCTCACCCCTGCAGCCCCTCGCTCCCCACCTTTCCCACAAGGTACCACCAACCCCCCCACGTCCTTCACAGCCACTTAATCTATGACCAACTTCACAAAGCTGGGCTGGGGGAAGCGCTGGGCCAGAGAAGCGAACAAACGAGGCAGGAATAAAGCCTGGATCTCAATGTCAGACCCCGCGCGTGGCTGGGGGTTTATTTCTTTCCCCACTTCTCCTCCGATGGACAAACCTTTATTTTTTCCTTCCCCTGACTGCATTTCACTTGCAGCCCAGTAACAAAGCCGTCACCTCCGCCGCCACTCCGCTCCAGGGAGACGAGTTACAATTACAAATTGCCACCACAATTAGTGCTACTTCTTAGAGAAATTAGAAAGGGGAGCGGGAGGCTCGCGTGCGATTGATTGCTATTCATCCTGCTTTACGGTGACCTTGCTCTGGAGACGATGATATTCCTTCAGCCTGGAAACCGGGATTTAAAAAAAAAAAAAATTAATTGTAAATTAACAGTAAGAACACACATTTCCTTTCAATTAATTTAAGCAGAATGAGGGGGCGTGAAGAGCAGGCGTTTGTTAAGGCCTGTACAGTTTAATTATTTTTTTTTTTCCCCACGAGATAATGTAATTAATCTTGGAGAAGTCGGGGGGACACGGAGGATCCGGGAAGAACAAAGCAGTTAACAGGCAATGGAAAAATTAAGAGCCCATTATGTAAATGCAGTGTGTTTTACAGCCCTGGAGTTGGGAGGGGTCTGAGAAATAAGTAAAATAACGAGGCTGGCTGTGCTAGGGAAGGCTGCAATTAAACAGGGCTGGTACTGGGGGGGGGCTGGTGGCACCCCACTGTTCAGGGGGAGCTTGCAGAGGGGGCTTGGTTCACCCCCAGAGCCTGGGTGAGGAAAGGGAAGATCCCCAGGGTGCTGAGGGCTTTCCCCCCATCGGGGAGGGTCCCACCGGGCCCCACAGACCTGAGCGAGTTGATGTTGATGAAGCCGGTGGCATCGGCGGGCTCGTAGTCGCCTTGCACATTCATGCTGCGGAGAGAAAGGCACATGGGATTCCTGGGGGAATTGGGACTGGCACTGCCATGGGATTCCTGGGGGAATCGGGACTGGCACTGCCATGGGATTCCTGGGGGAATCGGGACTGGCACTGCCATGGGATTCCTGAAGGAATCATGGCTGGCACTGCCATGGGATTCCCAGGGGAATTGGGACTGGCACTGCCATGGGATTCCCGGGGGAATCAGGGCTGCCCTTTGGGAAGGGAGATGGGACCCCAGGCCTGGCTGCTCCCACTGCTGGCGGCTGCAGGGGGCTCGGGTCAGGGTCCCTGCCAGCCCCTGGGGAAGGGGCACATGGCTCAGGAGCAGCCATGCCCAGGCTCCACAGGCCCTGCCACAGACACAGCTCCAAATTTCCCTCTTGGTCCCTCACGAGCATCATCACCCTTCCTTCCCATGCTCTGGCACCCACAGAGATGTTCACCCTGGTCCAGAGTAATCTTACAGTCTGGCTGTTCCGTGGCAGGCTCTAGAAAAGGGGTGGGATCCTGGGCAGGAGACACTGCCCCAGGCACGAACAAGACTCCAGGCAGGGACATCTCCACACTGGTGTAGGGTGTTTATGGAGCTGGCAGATTCCTCGGTGCAACACTGAGCACATCCCCTTTCCCAAGGCAGCAGCCACCCACTGAATCCCAACTCCAACAGTTTCCTACATCCCCAAAACACACGGCTCATTTCCCAGAAACCACAAACCTTAAAGGAGGAAGTGGAGGGAAATAAAGAAGAGGAAAAAAAAAATAAAAATAGAGTTTACAACGATTTTACCTCCCCTGACGGGCTACAGAAAAACCTCTGTGCTTTTATTTTTGCTCATTCGAGTGGTTCTGACCTGCTCTATAATTACGTTACTTTCTACCTACTGTGCAGAGGCATTTCCACACAGCTCTGCCTCTCACAGCTTTCTCTCGGGTTCCTGTGACGCCGTCACTCAAAGGCTTTCAAACCAGCGATGTAGAAATCAAAAAGAAAAGGAAAATGGTTGGAGACGCAGGGAGAATAAGTGCCCCTGCTTTTCTCTCCCTCTCTCTTTTTCCTCCGTCCCACCCCCCTCCATCCTCCTTTTTTTTCTTCCCTCTTTTTTTTCCTTTTTTTTTTTTTTTTAATACTTTATTCATTTAATCCCTCCAAGTGAGAGTGCGAAGCATAATGAAGGGTTGGGACGGATTATTAGGAGCTGTTGATTTTGAGGGGGAGGGGGTGGGGGGGAAAAAGCCAGAGAAGAGAAAGAGAGAAGATAATTTGACATTTACTCCGACTAATCTAAACTCATTCGGGTGTATTTATGGCTTATAAAGTGTTTAGAGAGATTGAAAGGAGTTGAGGGAGGGCTGAGGGGGGAGCGAGCAAGCGAGAAAACAACACAGAGAAAAAGGGAAAAGCCAGAGGGGAAAAATCCAATATTGACTTGAAAACATGGCCCATGCTTCGGCCGGATGCTGGGCTGGGCCCATGGTGTCACCTGTGCCACTGGGAATGGGGTGGGATGGAGTGGGATGCAATGGGATGCAACAAGGTGGGATGGGATGGGATACTGACTCCTGCCTACTCTGATGCCCTCAAGCCCCACTCACCTCACCAGCTCCTCATTGTAGAGTGACCGTGGGGACTCCCTGCCCAGGATGTAGACCTGGCCCTTGAAGATGGACAGGCGGACGGTGCCCACCACGGGCTCCTGCGAGCGCCCGATGCACTCCCGCAGGAACTCACACTCAGGGCTGTGCCAGAAGCCTGAGGACAGGAGATGGGATCAGCAAGGGGCTTGGGGAAAGCCAGAAGGACCTGGGTACCACGATCTTGGGAGGGCCAGGTGGAGACAGACAGATGGACACAGAAATGGAGGCAGATCTGCTCCCAGCCCCCCAAGAAGGGGATGAGGCTTTCTCCCCTGAGATGGGCAGGATAGGGGTCTGCCCAAAAGGGCCCACCACAGCCTGTGCTCAGGGGGATGCAGCCCCAAAGGAATACTTCACCCCCCAGCAGCTCTGGGAAGGGAAACCCCCTCAGGAATGGGGGTCCCAGTGGGGCAGTCCCCCCAGCAGTTCCCATTCCCCACCCCAGAGGGACGCAGAGCAGAGTGCTCCCCCCAGATCACACAGCCTGGGCTGACACTGGGGCTGTGTCTGGCTGAGCTTTGGGGCACAGGTGTGTCAGCAGCCCCAGGTGAGCTCTCCACCTTCCCAGCCCCCCCCAGGGTCAGTGAGGCTCAGCTTGTCCCTGCTGCTGCTTGTGGGGAAGTTTGACTTGTCCCCACTGTGGTCCCAGCTTGAGAAGCTGGTGGGACACAGGGAATGAGTGCTGGCACCCTGGAAAACTCCATCTAATCCCCACCAGCCTATGCCTGCTCTGGCTCCAGTGCCCCTGGCAGACCAAATGCCCTGAGCTGAAGCCCAGGCTGGGTGTTGGGGTGATGTGCAGTCACACCACGACCCCCAAAACACATCCTGGGGGAGCAGCTGTTGGCATTGCAGGTGCACGGAGGGGCCGTGGCCCTGCCTGCCACCCCCATGACCTGCCTGTCCCTAAGCAGGGTTATTAGCCAGGGAGTCCTCCGAGACCTGGAATAAAGCCTGGGAGATGTAGGAGATAGAGGTGGAGAAAAAAGAGCCCATTCACCGCCTTCCAGTCATCCCGGGTTTTATCTCTCTCATCTCACACCGGTGCCCTCTCACCTTTCCCTTCCCAGCTGGGCTCTGGGGCCAAAGCCATTAAAGAAACAAACAATTTCTTTTGTTGTTTGGCCTCACCAGGGCCGTATCCTGCAGCCTTGTCCCCGGGGTCTGTGTGGCACAGCACCATGGCCCTGCAGCCCCTGACCACCAAACCCACCTCCCTGAACTGACCCTCCTGAGCTGCTCCACCGCACAGGGGGCTTGCAGACCCCTTCCCTGAAATCAGCACTGCCATGCCAGTAGGAACCCCGGCTCCAGGCAAATACATTCCTTTTTTTGCTACCCACCCTCCAAGTTCAACTCTTCAAATAGCAGGATTGATGTAAAAATCCCTGTAAAAATAAACCCCAGACACATTAAAATAATAACCAACTGTTTAAATCCTGACTCTGACAGCTCCAGGTGGGAGAAAGCATCCCCCCCCTCCCGACCCCCCACTGCAGACACTGGAAGCGATCCCCCTTAATGACCTTCCCACCATCCTGCCCTAATCATGGCACAGGCAGGGGGACAATGGCATTTCTGCACCTGGAAAGGGCGGAAACTGGCTTCAAAGCCACCCCTCCACAATGGGATCAATAGGAACAGGGGGAAGATAAACACTAATTCTCCTAAAAACTGGACTAGCTGCAATAATGAGGTGTTAAAGGAAGGTGAGCTTGAAAGCCTGGCCTCCGGCACGGGGATCCACTGGTGCTTATTGCACCCTGTTGAAGTTCCTAGGACCAGGGATTGGCTGGCAGGGAAGTCTAGGACCAAGCTGGAAATCCCTGGGGATTCAACACATGGAGCCAGGGAAACAGCAGCCTGTGCCTGGCAGACAGTGGGGAGGGAGAATTTAAACCATGATTTCCTGAGTGGCTTTTTAACCTGGTGGCTGCAAAAGAAGAGAGTAGTTAGGAACAAACAAACAAACAGGTTTATGCCTGAACTAAATAAAAAATAAGTAGCCCAAGACAGGCAGCCCAGGTCAAAGTCTAATAAAAATGGCCAGAAGCAAGAGTGGCACCAGAGAATGAATGAGGGCAGGGGCTGTGATCCAAGAGGAAGGTGACAAAGGCTTCTGCAGCCCCTGCCAGGGCCCTAAAATATGATTTAAGCAGCAAAGGGGCTCAGGCATTAAATGCCAGTTGCTGAGGAAGATGCAAGAGGGAATGTCCTTGGAGGGGAAGGTGACAAGCACTGGCACCAGAAACTGCAGGGGAGAAAAGCCTGACCCAGGATCTGCTGCTGCCCAAAGCCTGAGCTCCCAGAATCAGGTTATTTCCAGGGTATCCTCCCATGGAAGACCCGATAGGAATCATCCCAGCCCTTGTGGCTGAAGAGTGATAGCAGGAAGAGCTGGGAGGATGAGAAATCAGGGCCTGTAAATGACAAATGTTTGGCCATGGGGCAGGAATCTCCTGGTGTGGGGCCTCCAGGGATGACAGCTCTGAACCGAGCACCCAGGTGTGGGCAATGGGGTTTTGAGCCCACTTAGGGCATCTTGGGCTAATCCTACTTCCTTCAGCTTAGCACCAGAGGCTGTGACAGGGTGGATCCATACAGCAACCCCCAGGGCAGTGCTGGTTCTCCTGCCAGCCCAGGGAGCTGTTCCCAGTGGCACAGGGGGAACGCTGAGCTGTGACCCCTCAAACTCAACCCACAACCTGGTGCTGCTGCCTCTCCACAGGAGGAAGGACACAGGGCTTCACTGCTGGGGTGAGGCAGTATCCCCTTATCCCTGATGGCTCCCAGGCCTCTGCAGGCAGTGCTGTCCTGTCCCAGAGCAGGAGCCCCAACCCGCAGTGCCCCTGTGTGGGCTGTGCACCGCATAGCACAGCCAGGACCCTCCACCCCTCCAGAGTCCCCTGTGCCACACTGCCAGGGCACAGGGACGGCTCTCCAGCTTCAAACACCGTGGCAGGGCTTCAAGTTTAAAGTTTGGGTGCCCCATAACCCAGTGTGCATGAGGCAAAGGCAGAGGTGGAAGGGGTTGGAGGTGAGACCTGGGAAAAGGTGATATGAGAGGGGGGAAAAGGACGGTGAATTACATCTGAATGTGCTGGTTGGGATGAAGTGGTGGCACTGGGCTGGGAGAGATGCCATGAGCAAGCCCTCATGGAATATGGCATTGCCACCCAGAGGCAGGCACGGAGCTCCCTCGCCAGGAAAGCAGGCACGGTGTGGGGCTTTCCTCAGTCCAAACCCACCTTTCTCTCAAAGAGCACCCTCAAAATCCACACCTCAATTTTGCAACAAGTGAAACCTGGAGCATTGAGGGAGGCTGGGAGGAGCTGCTGTGGCAGGACTGGACTGTACCTACCGTTGTACACCAGCTCTGAGAATTTCAAGGAGAGTCCCTGCTTGATTTTCCGCACTTCCCGGTCCATGGTGAAGGCCTCAATATCTAAATGCGCATGGTATAGGATCGTCCCTGCTGGGGTCTCATAGATACCTAGCCATTTTTCCAGGCAGGGGGAAAAGCAGAAAAAGAGAGAGAAACGAATGAGACCAAAACTGTCAGCAAATGACAAAAAATAATGACTTGGCTGACAGAAGGAGCCGTGGTCGAGCGCATTCAGTCTCAGCTCGCTGTAAAATGCATCTGTCATTATATTCACGCTGAGGCCGAGACAGTCCACTCCGCACCTTGCGGAGAAAATTTCTAGATTCCCCTCTTTGAAGAGGCACTCTGACGAGGCTAAATGACAGGGTTTGGGAACCGATCCCCCCACCCATCCGTGCCCAACGGTCTGCAGCTGAAAACCTGTAATTAACGGAACGAGCGGGGCACAGGCGTGGGGAGCGCAGGGCCTGAAATACCCCGCTCTCCCCTCGGCTGGCGAGAAGGGGCCCCGCACATCCGCTGGGAAGCAATGAGGCTACCTGGGGGCTGGGAGGGCAATGGCAGGGCCCCCCCAGTCCCTTCCTGCTGCCCCCTCATTGCACAAGGCCTGAGGATGAAGGATGCTTAATTATTTTGGCAAGCTGCTCCTTTGTTCCAGCCGTTCGGGGCTTGTTTTGTGCATGACACGGTTATTTGGTGCTGAAATACGAGTACGGCCATGCAGCGCTCCCGTCCATGCTGGATGCAGGTGGAAATATCGTTAAGAAATGCTGAGCTGGTCTGGTAGCTGGTCTGAATATGTGATGGGAAAGGCTGTAACCTGTCCACGGCCAGGGCTGCTCCACCAGCATGTCACTTCCCAATGCTGGGCATCTGCCATGGTGCAGTCATGGGAATGGCAAAGGGCACAAAGAAACCTGGTAGGAAACTGTCCCCAGTGAAGGGAATGTGTCCCCAACCCCAAGAGAGGCTGAGGGGAGCCCACAGGGCTCAGAACTTCACCAGGCTCTGCTCTCTCAACGCCCTAGAGGGTGGCACAGGCTCAGACTGTGCCAGTGTGGCCACAGTCACACCGATACAACAGGACCAGCAGCCCAAGCCTCTTCCATCAGACCTCATCCCAAGTAGTGTCCATAATTTCAGCACCCCACAGGCACAGACCACGATCTGACTGACCCAAAGGAGAGCCAACCCCTGCTCTCCAGTCACCCCAGTGATCATGCAGCCCAGTCCCTGGGGCAGCTCAGGTGTTCACAAAGCATCCATTCCCTCAGGGCTGTGGGAGCAGACAGCCAAGTTAACACCAAACCCCAGCTTTCCCCATGGGCACTGCAGTGACACGGGGGCACAGGGAGCTGCTCTTTGTCCCCTCCAGCCCCTGACTGTGGAGCTGAGCCAGCCACTAACACAATTAATACTCCATCTCCTTCCCCTCAGGAGATGTTAAAGCCAGTTTGGGCTGAAGATTCGGGCACATGCCTCGACCCCCAGCCCATCTGCGGGTGCTGGGAGACAGGACCCGAGCGTGTCAGCGAGGGCCGAGGGGAGGGCAGCTGACAGCCACTCTCCAGCCTCACCACTGCCGAGGAGACAAGAGACACCTTCAAAGTGACACTCGCAACATCTCCAAGTGTCTATTTTCATCTCCCCATGTTTACAGGAAAAAGACAGTTGTCAGCACTGCAGCCCAATGATGCTTCAATCACCCCATAATTACTGCTAAGGAAGGGGGGACCGGAGCAGGGGGGACATGGAGGGAGGCAGCGAAGGAGACAGCTGCCGCTACTTAAAATTTTCTAATTTGTAACCTCGGCTGTCACTTCACCTCCATCCGAGCAATTTTGCTGTGCTGAGTGCAGGCTGTCAGTCCGGACGTCAGCCACGGGACAGGAAGGGATGTGGTGCCTTCCCGAGGGAAAGGGCAGGGCAATGCTGTGCCCATGGGAAACTGCTGCCCAAAATTTCTACCCCTGCTCCAGGGCTGAGGCTGAGCCTGGAGGCCGAGCTCGGCCTGGTATGTGTTTGGTGCAGGGAAAGGGATTTCCACTTTCCTCCTCCATCAGCTCAGTGCATCCAGAGGAGGAAAGGGAAAAAGGAGAGAGCCAAGGGGAGGAAAAGGCCCAGCCAACAGCAGCGCTCGGCTTTTGGCAGCAGGCGTCCCCCTCCTTCCCTCTTCCTCCCCCACTGATTTCATTTACTTCACTTAATTAGCCCCCCTTCGGAGTTAAAAAGATAATTAGATAATGAGGATGTGAAAGGGAGGGGGAGGCAGGGCTGTGCTCCTGCTGCAGGCCGGAGCCCCCGGCCAGGCCTTGCCCCCCGAGCGGCTGGAGCAGCACTCCCTGGCACCCCGTAATTAGCCACCCTCCTCCCACTAAAACAAATACGGCAAACCCGAGTTAATAGGGCTTAAAAGGCTGGTTCGAGTGTGTTCCCTGCGCCCCTCGCCCATTAGGCCTTAACGAAGTCCAATTAGGAGCTTAGTAAAAATCAATGCAAATGAATTTTTCCTCTTCTCTGACTTCCTGGGTCTGGGGGATGAGGGAGAGGAGGCACCTTCACTGCCACCTCCACCACAGGGAAGGGTCTGGCCATGCTGCTGCCTGTGCCTCAGTTTCCCCCGCAGAACCCCAAATCTGCAGGGCAGCCTCACACTTCTGGGGTTTAAAGGATTGTCTCCTCCAAGCCTAGCTCCCCATCTCCTGCACCATTGATCCTAAATCCGTTTGGGGTCCAAAATGCTCCAGGCAGTGGTGCAGTCACCCTGAGCTGCTCCACACCCAAAAACCCTGGAAGAGAGCAGGTACCCACAGCACCCTCCTGATCCGGCCTGCTCCCATCCCAGCTCTCCATCTCTCCCACAGAACATCTCACAGAGCAGATTCCTGGCAGGTTTCTCTTAATCCCAAGAAGCCAACCAGGGGCACGATCCTGCTCAAAGCAAGGGGGAGACTACCCCAAGGTCTCATCCCTGCTGTGCTGTCCCCAGACCCCCCGGTCCTCCCGGCACACAAACATGGCAGTGATCGCTCGGCGATGTCACACAGGAGACAGACGTGACAGTTAAATGGGCTTTAGAGAAATTATTAAATGCTGGAAGGGTCACTAGAGCATGTCAGCGGCTCTTAAAAAAATAAAATAGATTTTGACAAATTACTCAGCATCCTGCATGCAAATGCTTAGGCTCGAGTGTGCGGGTTGGGGATTTTTCTTCCTTCTTGTGGTTTTAATTTGATTATTCAAACTCAGATCAAATTATTTGGGGTTTTGTTTCTTGGCCTGTGGTGGGGAGGAACACCGCAGGCTTAGTCTTACCAAAATATTTGCTGTTCTCCTGCACAGGGGACAACAGAGGGCAAGTTTAAAGAAAGGAAGCATCTAATTAAAAATTAATGAGATTTAAAACAAGAGTTGGAGCAAGGAGTTGGGAAATGATGCTAAGTCACCTCTTTACTTAGTTTTGCACAGGGCAGCTCACTGCCTCCAGAGGTTTCCAATGAAATTGATCCCAATGGAAGATCAATATTAGGAGGCATGGACTCAAAAGTGTGTAGATAAATCAAATATTTGCTTTGTTTTAAAAAACAAACAGAACAGTAACTTGCATCAGTTACCTGTAGTTTGTACAGGTATTGGAGAGTCTGGACCATCCAGGACCTTCCATGAGCATATCCCCACACAAGCCCACAGCTTGGTGTGTTTCCTGTGGGACAGGTCTCACCTGGAGGCACTGGGACCCCAGGGCTGGTGACAGTGGCAGCGAGTGGGCAGCCACTGTCATTAGAGAGCAACAAGGAGTCCCTGTCACAGGGAAATCTCTGCCAAAAGCTGATGAGAAGGGAAAGATTGAGGGCTGCTGGTGTGACCTGAACCAAACCACCCCAGGATTACTGAGCACCCACCAGACCCCACCATGGTTTTCCCATTTTTTTTGCCTTTTCAGGGCAGGGCAAGCTCACCTCTGGACTTCATCCCAACGAAGCGGTTCTCCACGATGTCGATACGCCCAACCCCATGCTTGCCCCTGTGAGGAGAAGGGAGCTTGCAGCAGCCCCAGTCCCTCAGTGGGACACAGGTGGCTGTGAAAGGTGGGTCAGAGAAAAACTCCAAATGACAGGGCTTAGCAGGCCAGCCTCTAAGCAGCACTGCTGACCATCAGTAGAGACCCCAGATAAGACAGGTGACAAAGAATGGCTTTTTGTCTCCACCAGTCTCTCACTGGTGCCACCAGCACTACAGGCAGCTGTGGCACTTAGGCCACTGGAAAACAAACTGGGCAAGGAAACAGGACACACCACAGCTGTATTCCCAAATTAATTTTAAAACCACTTATTAACCATTTAAAAAGTGAACTAAGTGTAAAGGATCATGCCCATTCACCACCAGGAGGATAAAGGCGGAGGCACAGAGGAGGATGGCCAGGGGCTGGGTGGCACTCAGGAGGAGTGGGTGCCCTCATGGAGGCTGCAGTATTTTTGGGAAAACTCCTGAGGATGGTTCTGTGCCATCAACAGCACAAACCAGGCATGGGGTGGCACATGGAAAGAAAACCCGAAGGGAGATGCTGCTGTGGAGACAGGAATAGGAAAGGGCAATGAACCTGGCCAGCTCCAGGTCTTCATGCCCCAAAAAAGTCAACTCTCCACACAGAAAGGTCACTGTTGGGGAGACAGGGCAAGGCAAGACATCAGAGCAGGGAGTCCAGGACTGAGCTGGGACAAGAAGTCAAGGGAGCCCTGCAGTGGGAGGGCAGCTGGGGAACACAGGCAGCCCAGAGAACATTCAGAGGCCTTTTTAATCCTCCTCAAGCACAGCGAGCAAAACCCTGGGGTATTTATACCCTCGTGCTCCTGGCCTTGGTGCCCAGCTCTGCTTGCTGGCATTTGTGGCACAGCTGGGACCCAACTGGGGCCATTCCATCGCTGACCATCATCCCTGGGCTCATCAGGACGTGTCTGCTGTGAGCATCCTGCTTCCACACCATGCTGGGTGCCCAGGGGATGCTGCCCTTGTCCCCTCTGCCAGCCGGACAGGGTGGCACTCACGCGATGTCGTTCAGGTACACAAAGAGCTCCAGGGCCGAGGAACGAGTGGCTCCATCCCCAGTGTTGGTGACCTCCACTGGGACACCTGCAGAGGCGGAGAGAGAGGATGGGCAGGATCAGCCAGCGTCAGGATCCCCCCGGAACATCATCCTGCGGGCGTTAAATAGATGTGACAGATATGAACTCTAAATAACTTCTTAAAAAGGCATATCCAAGCTGGTGTGAGGGGGAGGCGAGGGGAGGGGGACCCACCTCGGGAGACAAGCGAAATAAATAAATAAAGAAGGCCATAAAAACGT